CTCCAACCTCCACTAGCTACGATACAGGGGCAGCCCTACCCTGTGGAATATACAAAACGTTACACAAGACACAATATGTACATCGGGGAAGGGGGCCACCCCAGCAGCCCATGCCCTCACCTGGTCCACAGTTTGCCCCACTGTCCCGCCTCAGCTACCTCTCTGAATGGGAAGATGGGAGACCCCCTGAGGGAAAACTTGCTATGGTGAGAGTAAGGAGGCCATCAGACCTCCTCCGAACAAACCAACTCCATCCGCCTCTGGCTCTTAAATAACAATCATCATCATCCAGAAATCTAAGGACTCAGCCCTAGTCAAGGTGGCAAAGGGTCTGTTTGTCTTTCCCCATTAGACAGAGGTCGTGTGTTGCTCCCCTAATTGTAACGGGGTGACTGGGAAGGGGTGGTAGGGACATGGTGGCAGTGGAGACTCCAGCCCCACTTCTCCAGGCTTTGCTGACAGGGACCTGCTTTTAATTTTTACTTTTATCCCATGACTTTAAAAAAAATCCCATAACTTCTTTTTCATAACTTTTTTTTGTAACTGTTCATAAAACTTTTTTCTACTTTTATACCACAACTTTTTTTGCCACAACTTTTTTACATTTTTAATCCCATAACTTTTCCACCCCATAACACTTTTAATCCCGTAACTTTTTTATTTTGTGTTCTTTTAATAAACACTTGCATAGTTATATTATAATTTTGTAAAAATGAAACAGATTATCTCATGCCAAGCATGCCCAGCATTTGCACGGTATCAATATGTTTAATACTATAGTTTTCAAGACATGCAAAATAAAATTTTAAGGCAAAAGCAGCACTTTGCAATAATTTAATAATTTATTACATTACAGTAGCATCACACCAGCAGTCAATAATGCCACTTTAGGCAAAAGTTTTTTCAGTATTTCCATTATACATTCTGTTTACAAGAATTTATAAATAGGTAAAATTCATTCTAAGAAGACTTGGCAACTAAAGCTTTGGACTGGAACTGGCATTTCTTTCTCTACTTTTCATTCCCACCATTTCTTTCTTTTAAACTACAGTATTCATATTTTAAAATGTTT